TATTTTGATTGCATGTTAGGAGATGGTTTTTAACCCGATTTAGACTAGATTTTTGGAAGACTACTTATTTTATTTCATATTTTCGTTTGGCTTGATTTTTGAAAATTTTCCATTTTTGGTAAAATTCAAATTTTTGCTATAAATGACGGCTTGTGGACTTATTTTGATTATTGCGTGATATAATAAAATTCTCTAAATTTCGGAGACCTTTTTTCTGTATTTTTCGGCGTTACTTTTGTAATTTTTCCTTTGAATATGTTGGTAGAACTAGCTTGCAGAATAACCACTATTCTGCCCCGCATCAAAATCCTCCCAATTTTTTCCCTGAATTTCATCTCCATGAAAGCAATAATGTCATAAAAAATCGAAAAAATCTCGAAATTTCTAACATTAAAAAATTAATTAGAACAATGGAAGCAATGATATTAGACGTCAGCATACCATTGGTCTCATCAAAGAAAACCATCAAAAATTTCATGATCTCAAAAATAATTAACTAGTAATTAGAATGTAAATCATAATTGGAACTATATGAATGCCTATCATTATAAAAATTAGTAATAAGACGACTGTTGAGCCATATTCTCATTTTCATTCACATTCCTCTACTTATTTTCAACCATACATTTTTTAATAAAATAATATTTTGCATCACATCAATAATTTTTCCTTCTTTTTCAACCACATATTCACCATCACATCACCAAAAAAAATGCATTCTTTCCATTTTGACGTGTATCAAACACACTCTGAAAGTATCATAATTAGCGCAAGATTGTAACACGAGATACCTAAAGTTCCATATATTACCTGTATCAATTGCAAACATCCTATCATTTAAGTTAAAATATGCATGTAACTAAAAGTAAATTTGAAAAAAAAAAAAAAAAGCATCAAACATGAATTTAAACTAACTGTCACACGACGGAAAGGACTAAGTGCAGACATTATAATATCTAGAATAGGAAAACAAAGTGACAGGCTAATAACACCTAATCCATATGTAGTATGTCACGCATGTGACATCACTTATAATTGTGAAACATTACGTTGCCTCTGACGACATCAGATTCCTCGTTAGTTGTACAAACTTATTCCTCTAGGCGGTTGGGGGAAGAAGCCAAGTCAATAGTGAACTTCACAAATAATATAAAGACAAATCTGCTACATGTACATTCATTTTATACATTAAGTTTGACATTCATGATGTGTCAAAATCATGATCATTGATTTGAATAACACCTTTTCAAATCAATGCCCATGATTTTGACACATCAAGGAATGTCAAACTCGTTGTACAAAAAGAATGTACAACTAGTTTAATTCATATAAAGAATAGCTTCTTCTCCTTTTCCGCGAAATTGCACTCTAAAATGGTAATTGACATATATTGTTCGAGTTTTATTCAGTCCTTGTTTGGTTTTAATACTAATCATCAATTAGTATTAGAATTTGATAATTTGAAATGTGCATTAAAATTTTTTTATCCACATAATCCAACAGTTGAATACTTTGCCAATACAAATCGTTCATGAATCCTTCCATTACTCATCGATCGAGCAATGCTATGCGTACAAAATTGAGTTACAAAATGAGTGTGACAAGATCTAAACTATTGATTTAAAAACAAAAAAAACAAAAAAAAAAAGGGCTTAGATCTTGCTACATTCATTGTGTCAAATAATTTTGTAATCCAATTTTAAACGCACAACATTACTCCCCATTTATCCGAAGAACAATGCTACACACACAGCTATGCTCACAGCACGGTTGACAGTTCACTTACATTCAGGGACAGGGTCTGCAATTAAAATAATCACGGGCCCCACGACTTTGTGAGAAGGCTGTAGCCCGAGCTGTGAAGCTAGGGCTGTACAAACAACATTTTTGTTATCCGAATGTGGAAGTAAAGCGGTCTTTGACAACAAATAATACATGATGGGATGGGACCAAAGATATTCAAACTTGACATAATTGCTTAAGGCCCCACAAATTGGTGAAAAAAAATCATTTTTCTTGCAAAAATCAGGATCAAACATATGGTTAGTTTTACTCTGGTAACAGGTCAACTTTAGAAGACAGATGTCGCCTATGCAATATTGCACTATTTGTTCATTTATCTCTCATAGATAGACGTTTTTGCAAATAAATATAACGTAAAACAAATATTTATATTAGAAATTGACCAATATTCTAAATGAATAAATAGAAATCAAATATTATATTTGAAAATATATATTAACGAAATCGAAGAAAGAACTAAAAAGATGCTTCTCATTATTAAAAGATGCGTGTACTGAAATGAGATGGGCCAAGTTTTTGGCTTTTTAAATTTTTTATAAGCGATTTAGCGTAGAATATTATTTTATTGTACATATTGAAAAATTTAAAAACAAAATGAGTATGGTTCATAATGCTTTGTTGGGTTAGCGTACAATCACTACAAAGTTAATAACAACTTCAATTATGGCCTCTTTCTGGGGAGAATTTATAAGTAAATATAAATGTAACTTGAAATATGTGATTGAAAATGAAATTTAAATATTTATAAATTATTTATATTTTTTTTGCAAAATGAAGCCTTAAAATTCTATTGATGACATATAAGTGTGTTAATTGGGCCGAGTTGAGCCACTCGGCTAGTCTATCGTAGGGCTTGGCTCGACCCATTATGCGAATCGGTTCGCGCTCGTCCTGGAGTGAGACAAACGCAAGCCTACCCTCTTCAAAAAGGTTGGACTCGACTTGACCCACTAGCTTGCCCCTTGATAGGATAAGTCGAGCATGCTCTCGAGCCTCTTGCGGCTCAATAATTTTTTCTATTTTTTTGGACAGAAATTGTACTTTCACAAGTCATTTAACACGAGCTAGTGATCGGCTCCGAAGAGTATTTTGCTATTCAATCTACGACCACGAATTCAATCGACGAGCGACTCGTTGCACTTTCCCTATTCCCACTTCTACAGACCACGAGACCACAAAAATTATTTACAAGTCAACGCAACTTGTAGTGGGTCACTAGTAATTAAACTTTAATGATGTTTTTTCTATAATCTTCCCTTACTAGATTGTCCATATATAGGCATGTAGAAAGTGGATTTAATGAACCCAAATTGACCTGTTCCTCTCCCATCCCACCTCCTTCTCACTAGACACATTAAACACAAATATATACGCCTATATATGGATGGAGAGAAAAAGAAGAGAAAAATGGATTATGAAGAAGATGATGAAGAGCAGAAGATGGAATTGTTCTTTGCTTTGGTCAAAAGCACGCGAGAGGTACGCGAAAAGTTAATGAAAGGAGAGCACAAAGGCATACACAAGGAAAATGAAGATAAACCGCCGCCGCCTCCGCCGGTGGTTTGGAATCCGTGTTTCCGACCAGAAGACTTCATGGAAGATGTAGTGCAGCTCAAGGCGGCGGGTTGTGGCAGTAGCACTGGTAGTCCTGTAATCCCACGAACAAGCTTGTTTGGAAGAGGTGATAAGGAGGAAAAAAATTTGATGGAAGAAGTGGAGCCACCGTCGGTGTCGGTGTCTGTAGCGGCGGCCGGGACTTGTAAGAGAGAAGATAAAGAGTCTGAAGATGTTGATAAAGGTGGGGACTCCGGCTTGGACCTTAATCTTTCTTTGTAGGAGGAAGAATTGTGTTGTTAATTTGTTATAGTCGTACTACTTTTGTGTGTGAAAATTATACCCGCAAAATCTTGAAATATTATGCCATCGCTTGGTTTAACTAAAAAGCTTAATGAAAATTTAATTCAGATTTAACAAGTAATTTAATTATAAATTTTCTGAATTCACAATTTTTATTAATTTTTTAATTATACATTTTTTAAAATCTATTTTAATAAAGTTATAATTATGTGAATTAGTTTATCTATTGTAATTCTATTAGTAATAATACAATTTAAATAACTCAAAATTTATTTGAATACGTAAATAACATTTTGAATCATGCATAATCATTAGACTAGATCATTATCATCTCTAACTGATCCATTTCATTTAAAAAAAAAACTTAAAAGAGCCATAAATACTCTTTTTTTTTTTTTAATCTGCACATAATCTTTCTCAAACTTAAAATAAATTTAATCTAGAGTATCTCCATTCTTCAAGAGATTCTTTAAATGTACGGCTGTACTACATGTACATAATAGTTTATGTAGTGAGATATGATTGAGTCAACAAAAATTTAGACAAAAAAAAAAAAATAATAATTTAGAGAGTGAGTTTGACTTTTCAAATTTACCCTCTGTAATTAAATATATTCAAAGTGTTTCAATTTTCAATATAGGAAATCAATAAAATAATTTAAAGAAAAGTTAGTTAAAATGAAAGATAAAAAAATAATAATAAATATTTTTTGAGAGTAATAAAATTAAATGTTAAATATAAAGAGTTTGTTGAAGTACTGTAAAATTTTAACTCTCTAAATTTATGAATACTCTCCAAATAATAGAATATATATTCTCTAAAAATAGAGAATCTTTGGAAGATGCTCCAACTCCATTATGTACAAGTAGACTGTAAATAGATTGAATTTTGATTCGAATTCGATGAAATTAATGGGAGATTTATTCAGGATTTTAATTCGATAACCCGATCAAAATCTGAATCCGATAATTTTGTAAGTAAATATATCAAATATGGATATATGTCAATTCGATCTGATAACAATCCGATATGATTTGTTATAAATAATTGAGTCGGTAAAAATATTTCCATGGCATGTTATTTGTAATTAAAATAAATAAACAAGAAAATAAATATATTTAGAATAAAAAAATCATCAAATTCAAAACATAAAAAAAAAAGTTGAAAAATTTATAATTATTAAACCCGTTTAAGAATTGTAAAATTGGAAAAATAAATAAATAAAAAGTTGATTCCAACATTTTTTTCCTAATTTGTTTAATTTCAGATCGGATATCCAATAACATAGTAAAACGATTATGAATTTAACAATCAAATGTCTTTTGGATTATCGGATCGGATATAGGCAGATCTGATCCATTTACAGCTCTATATACAAGTAAATTTATTCTTAAATATATGATACTCTCTATTTTAAAGATTCAACCCTTAAAAATTATGCACCAATAAACTCTTTAAATTAACATTTTAATTTATAATGTAAGTTTGGATTTGGAGAGCTAACCCACTCTATATAATTAAATGCATTCAAAATATTTCAATTTTCAATTGATGAAAATAATATAATAATGTGAAGGGAAGTTAGTGAAAATAAAAGTTTAAGGAAAACAATATTTTTTTTGGAGTAGTAAAATCAAGTGTTAAACATAAATAGTCCGTTGGAGTATTTAAAAATTTTTATTCTCTAAATTTATAGATATTTTTTAAATTGTAAAATATGCTTTTTAAAAATAGATAATTATCTAATAACATTTTGAATAATGCATCATTATTAGACTAGATCCTTGTGAGCTCTACATATAAAGAGCCATAAATACTCATTTGTATTTTATAATTTGCACACAATCTTTGCAAACTTTAAATAGATTTAATCTAAAATGATGCTTCTACTATTACTAATGAACTCTTCTTACAATTTTATTTTATATTTCTCAAATAATTTAACATCTAATCCGCATAATACATCATTGAAAATATTCCTACATCTGCGTATTCGAAGCCTGATTGAACCGCGGGTAGCTTGTTTGATGTCAAAGTGAAGAAAAGAAGCGTCGGCTCGATTGTTAGCGCCACTCTAACGGGAGCCTTTGAGGAGAGAGAGCCCCTCCGATTGAGAGAAGGATTATTGAAAGATATCACCCTTTCTCCTTTTTTAGGAAGTTGCACTTGGATACCAGAAGGGAGTATGCTTTTTGTAGGATAATTGTTTCAATNCACTCTAAGGGGAGCCTTTGAGGAGAGAGAGCCCCTCCGATTGAGAGAAGGATTATTGAAAGATATCGCCCTTTCTCTTTTTTTTAGGAAGTTGCACTTGGATACCAGAAGGGAGTATGCTTTTTAGATTATAATTATAATTTTAAATTGTATTATATTTCTAAAAGGAAACAAAATAAACACGGTAGGTTGGATGAGTGCACTAATGATTGGGTATGTGGGCCGGTCTAACTCTTAGACTTGGAAGACAATTCGAGCTAGCCGGGACCATAAGTTTAGATGGGAAGGTTCAGCCATAAATGTGCCTGGATGAGGTCTGAGAGCAGACACATAGGTCCTAGCCAACCTAACTATTTTGACACTTTTACTATCATCATTTTATAATTTTTAATTCTTGTTATTTTGGAATTTTTGCAAACTAAGGAGATTTTGCAGTTGGGCCGATGAAGATCAAGAATTGAAAAAGAAACAGAATCGATCTTTACGCAGACGTAGACAATCGCTATAGCGCAGACTATGCCAGTGCAGCAGTCTGTGATAGGAGTAGACAAATTTGCTCGGTTGTCTCATCGATTCGGGTTAATCCTTGGCGGGTCCTGGTCCAGTTCGTGTGGACGAGTCGAATTTGGATAGATCATATTATAATTATTATACAATGCGGTGATATTCAATTATTGTTTGCACTGGTACTCTTGAATTATTGGAGATTTTTGTGCTGAAAATTTAAATTAAATATTGCACTTGAGTCTAATTAATTTTTTAATATAATTATTGAGTCATTTGGATACAAATAATTGTTAATTTATCGCAAACGAATGCTTTAAATTGTTACTTGAAATATTATCATTTTAGATATAATAATAGATAATTTTATTTGTGACATCGCTCATGGAACTATGAATATGACGCATATAGCTGTGGCAAAAAAGTTCGGAGGTTCGGACGGCTCGGACTCGGCTTGGGCTAAGTGGAACCGAGCCCAGGCTGAGGCTGAGCCCCACTTTGGGGAGTCGGCTCGAGCCCGGGCTGGCCCGTGGCCAGGGCGAGCCTCCTAT